TTTTATCGCTCTCGATAATCTCTGATGTAAGACTTCACTAGCCACGTCCCCATTAAATTGCAGTTTGATGAACAGTTGTTTCTTTTTAACTGTTATCGGTTTCTCTTTATTGTACTTCGCATTCATGTGTCTCCTGACAAATCTACTAGGATAACCCATTTGGACTAACGTATTTTGGATGTATCCTAGCTCATTCTCTAGAGAGTCATCTGTACAGATGCGTCTTGCTCTATTCGTCAGGTATCTGACCAAATTGATTTTGTAACGGATTGGTACATAATTGAGGAAATGTGTATATTGTCCTACAGATGTAGGTTTTCTATAGACATCTCTCTTTAGTGAACCATCCTCTCTTCTGCTCAATTGGACGTCAAGAAAATGTAGTCCACCATCATATTCTTCTTCACAAGTGAAGATAAGCGATGGATGTGCATCGTTAAACTTTTTTAACATTTCATTCTTGTCAGCTTTCACATCAAGAATAATAAAGGTATCATCAACATAACGAAAATAAGAATCAGCTTTTTCTATTACTTTTTTCAATGGACCATTTTCAATCTTGGCAAGAAAGAAATCTGCTAAAATTGGCCCCAACGGAGAACCCATGGCAATACCGTCGATTTGCCTGTAGTAAAGGTTGTTAAATATGAAATGTACATTCTTAGTACTATGTACTATGTACTATGAATGTACATTTCATATTTAACAACCTTTACTACAGGCAAATCGACGGTATTGCCATGGGTTCTCCGTTGGGGCCAATTTTAGCAGATTTCTTTCTTGCCAAGATTGAAAATGGTCCATTGAAAAAAGTAATAGAAAAAGCTGATTCTTATTTTCGTTATGTTGATGATACCTTTATTATTCTTGATGTGAAAGCTGACAAGAATGAAATGTTAAAAAAGTTTAACGATGCACATCCATCGCTTATCTTCACTTGTGAAGAAGAATATGATGGTGGACTACATTTTCTTGACGTCCAATTGAGCAGAAGAGAGGATGGTTCACTAAAGAGAGATGTCTATAGAAAACCTACATCTGTAGGACAATATACACATTTCCTCAATTATGTACCAATCCGTTACAAAATCAATTTGGTCAGATGCCTGACGAATAGAGCAAGACGCATCTGTACAGATGACTCTCTAGAGAATGAGCTAGGATACATCCAAAATACGTTAGTCCAAATGGGTTATCCTAGTAGATTTGTCAGGAGACACATGAATGCGAAGTACAATAAAGAGAAACCGATAACAGTTAAAAAGAAACAACTGTTCATCAAACTGCAATTTAATGGGGACGTGGCTAGTGAAGTCTTACATCAGAGATTATCGAGAGCGATAAAACGGACTTATACTGCCGCCACCCTCTGTTTGTCATTTTCCAGCCGGCCAATTTTGATTGCTCAAGTGAAAGATAAGTTACCGAGTTGTGCCACTTCCATGTGTATTTATAAATTTAGTTGCTCCTGTGGAGAAAGCTATATAGGCCGAACAACTAGGCAGCTTAACAAACGCATTAATGAGCATCTTCCTTCATGGTTCGGAAAAGGTCAAATAAAGTCCATACGAAGTTCTATTTTGGCACATTTGATTGATAGTGGTCACCAAGTGGACAAAAATAGTGCTTTCAAAGTTATTTACCGCATTCCATCAAGCCTTTCGAACGGAATCAGAACCCGACTTTTACACTTAGCCGAAGCTATGGGAATTCGAGAGAACAATCCTAGTCTTTGTATACAAAAGAAATTTGTTCTACCTTTGTCTCTCCCTTGGCCTAGGTGAATTCTATTCAAAACCCTCCCACCCTTTCTTATCATCCCTCTCCTTCGTACTTTTATGATATTTATTTAAACTCTGATTATCGTTCCATTTGATTTGACCTAATTTATTTATTTATTGAATTGTCTACATATATGCATATACTAACTTTGTTATTCTTATCACCTATATAAGCCTTATTAACAATATTTTGTTATTATTATAATCATCGCTATTAACTTCGTTCAAAACATTTACCACATTATTATTACTATTATTATTATTTGTTATTATTATTATTATGATTACTATTATTATTTGATCCACTAAATCACCGTCATTGGTTAAAATTTTATATATATAAGTCTATGTAAATTAGAGTAAAGCCTGAAGAAGATCTAATTGAAAACAATATTGTTCGCTTATATGTCTTGTTCTAATATTATAAATGGGAATATTTAAAGATTTGAAATCACGTGTGGATCCCAGTGCATTAAAGGCACTCAATGAGTACTTGAAGTATAATGCCAGACTCACGGAAGCGAAAACTTGTTTAGATTTTATAAATGACTGTTTAAATAATAATCGATATCCTAAAATTTATTGGAAATCTCTTCGTCGTAATAAAGTTTATCCAAATTCCCGATCACTGAAACGTTATGCACTTAACCAATTGGACTCTTTAAAAATGTACATTTCGGATATAGAAAGAAATTTATCACAGAAGAAATATGCAGTCGATGAACTTCCTCAGGATTTATTATTTGATTTCATTGAGTATGTCGACAGTGTTAGTCAAAATAGAGCAGAGAAAAGGAAAACGAAACTTGTCAAATCATTAGACAGTCAAAATCCTGAAAAGGATTCCCCTTCATTCCCTTCAGACCCGTATCGGTATGTCCATAATTTTTCAAGTGTAACACTAGATAAATTACAGTTAGAAGCATTATCATTGGGTCCTAGATTTTGTGACCAAGGGTATAAGGTCAACCAACTCGATACCAACATCCAGTTTGAAAACTTCCTCCTACAAACGAAAGATTTAACCCCAACATCAGACGATGAAGTCGCTAGGTTCAAAACAACACTAGTCGACAGCTGTCAACAGTATAAAAACAATAGTCATTCTAGTAAGAGTTTACTGACTAAACAGCATCGAGAAGCCCTAAGAAAGTTAAGGAACGATGAAAGCATTATAATCAGTAGACCTGATAAAGGAGACGGAGTAGTATTGATGAATAAGTGTGATTATGTAGACAAAATGAATTCGCTTCTAAATGATGAAACGAAGTTCCAAAACCTTATGAACCCAATAGATCTGGACGGAAAGGCTGAAAAGCAGTTAACCAACACGCTTAAGGAACTGAGAAAAAGCGGAATAATCTCAGAGGCAGCATATAACCGTCTTAAACCTACTGGAAGTAATACTTCACGTCTGTACGGTCTGCCCAAAATACATAAACCAGGACTTCCTCTTCGTCCAGTCCTGGATATGTCAAACTCTACCTACCATGGAGTGGCAAAGTGGCTAGGTGAACTCCTCCAACCATTACACAAGTTGGTAGTAAATCATAGTGTTAAAGATGTTTTTGAATTTATTGCTAACGTGGATGATATTAATGTAAATGGAAAGCAAATGCTTTCCCTCGATGTAGCATCACTGTTTACCAATGTACCACTTATGGAGACTGTGGAATTCATATGCCAACAGATACTAGAAAAACAGATCGACATCGGAATACCGGTTAGTAGTCTGAAAGAGTTGCTTTTAAGATGTACTATGAATGTACATTTCATATTTAACAACCTTTACTACAGGCAAATCGACGGTATTGCCATGGGTTCTCCGTTGGGGCCAATTTTAGCAGATTTCTTTCTTGCCAAGATTGAAAATGGTCCATTGAAAAAAGTAATAGAAAAAGCTGATTCTTATTTTCGTTATGTTGATGATACCTTTATTATTCTTGATGTGAAAGCTGACAAGAATGAAATGTTAAAAAAGTTTAACGATGCACATCCATCGCTTATCTTCACTTGTGAAGAAGAATATGATGGTGGACTACATTTTCTTGACGTCCAATTGAGCAGAAGAGAGGATGGTTCACTAAAGAGAGATGTCTATAGAAAACCTACATCTGTAGGACAATATACACATTTCCTCAGTTATGTACCAATCCGTTACAAAATCAATTTGGTCAGATGCCTGACGAATAGAGCAAGACGCATCTGTACAGATGACTCTCTAGAGAATGAGCTAGGATACATCCAAAATACGTTAGTCCAAATGGGTTATCCTAGTAGATTTGTCAGGAGACACATGAATGCGAAGTACAATAAAGAGAAACCGATAACAGTTAAAAAGAAACAACTGTTCATCAAACTGCAATTTAATGGGGACGTGGCTAGTGAAGTCTTACATCAGAGATTATCGAGAGCGATAAAACGGACTTATACTGCCGCCACCCTCTGTTTGTCATTTTCCAGCCGGCCAATTTTGATTGCTCAAGTGAAAGATAAGTTACCGAGTTGTGCCACTTCCATGTGTATTTATAAATTTAGTTGCTCCTGTGGAGAAAGCTATATAGGCCGAACAACTAGGCAGCTTAACAAACGCATTAATGAGCATCTTCCTTCATGGTTCGGAAAAGGTCAAATAAAGTCCATACGAAGTTCTATTTTGGCACATTTGATTGATAGTGGTCACCAAGTGGACAAAAATAGTGCTTTCAAAGTTATTTACCGCATTCCATCAAGCCTTTCGAACGGAATCAGAACCCGACTTTTACACTTAGCCGAAGCTATGGGAATTCGAGAGAACAATCCTAGTCTTTGTATACAAAAGAAATTTGTTCTACCTTTGTCTCTCCCTTGGCCTAGGTGAATTCTATTCAAAACCCTCCCACCCTTTCTTATCATCCCTCTCCTTCGTACTTTTATGATATTTATTTAAACTCTGATTATCGTTCCATTTGATTTGACCTAATTTATTTATTTATTGAATTGTCTACATATATGCATATACTAACTTTGTTATTCTTATCACCTATATAAGCCTTATTAACAATATTTTGTTATTATTATAATCATCGCTATTAACTTCGTTCAAAACATTTACCACATTATTATTACTATTATTATTATTTGTATTATTATTATGATTACTATTATTATTTGATCCACTAAATCACCGTCATTGGTTAAAATTTTATATATATAAGTCTATGTAAATTAGAGTAAAGCCTGAAGAAGATCTAATTGAAAACAATATTGTTCGCTTATATGTCTTGTTCGAATAACTTCAAGCTTTATTTTTTCCCAAGTATTTTTAATCCATCCAAAACTTACTTGGTTTTTTTGTTAATGCGAAGACAATATTCGTATATTTCATGACGTGCTCCATTGAGTGACTGGTTATCATATTGTTCCCACAGACCTAAGACAAAAACGCCATCAACAATGTAACTTAACCATGAACCAAATTTATGAAATTTAAATAATGCTTACCCATGACTGTATATGTGGTGTGTCCTACACAAGTAGGTAGAATGTGTATTATATCAAAACATTATTATTAATTATGATTGCTAATCGTATATGTAATTTATCATATTGATGATGCCTGTAAACTGGCGTCTCTCATGTACAAAATCAGAATATACTATTATTATTATTAATAGGCTACATAAAAGTGGATATCGAGAAGGCTCCATGATGTCTAGTAATGCATATAGACCTAGTGAGTGTAACAGCTTTCGTGGTACATCCTCAACAGATAAGTTACAAGATACAAGACAAACACGGTTGTGTTTTACACGTTTGCAGGAAGTTCATACAATGATGAACTGTGAATTAGTGAGGAAGTTTAGTGATAAGCTAAATGTGAAATCAAGGTCTGACTCTGAATTGTGTGACGATAACGGTGTGGTCAAGAAGTCTGTAGTTGCAACTGTCAAGCCAGTGTTGAATGGAGTCTCACAGAGGAGAGTTACAGTCTCGGAGGACAGTTCTGACTCCGCCAGTTTACAAGGTATTACTAGTCGGAGTGAAGATATAAAACCTTTAAGGATTTGTGAGGAGGAACCAAAATTGTCTACTTCCGTCATTAAAGAGTTTGAAAATGATGAAATTGACGGTAAAGTGAATATTCGTGATAATGATCATGATACTTCATATTTGTCTTTGGTTGATCATGATGAGATGAGGGATATGCCTACTACTGCTAAGTTGAACAAAGGTTCTGTACAACTTGAACGTGAAGTAGAATTTAAGGCAGATGCAGTTGTAGTAGATATGGATATTTGTGAGACCGTCAGTGTAATTGATCGGCGTGTAGCCCACCTATCATCAGATGATAGTGCTAAACCCGAACTAGTAGTGAAAGACAGCAGTGGTGGTAATCTTGCAGTTAGACAACTATCTGAAAGCCGAACAACAACAGCTTCTGATCCACCGCTAACTTCATCAACTGGTATCAATCAGTCGTCGTTGGTGTTGTCATCCACAATGAGAAGGACGCCCATCGACTCAAGTATCTTGTGCAATGACTATGATCGTATTGGTGCACCTGAAGAGACGAAAGATGCTGGTCAGTTTAGTCAGGATAAGCCAAGTGTAAAGGAGAGAGTTATTGTTAAATTGACTTGCACGAATAAAGGCATTTCTAGTTTCAAGTTACTATTTGAATGCTATTATCTTCGGTGTAAATTACTCTGTACCCAAGCTTGGTTGATCAGATATGTCGTGTGTTTGTTCGTCATCTTTATTCTACGATACGATGACATGAGCGTGTTACCATTCAGATTTGAGGATATAGCTGATAGAAGGAAGTCAGCAAATGAACTCTGCAACGATTTTCCAACCTAGGCAGTCAACCTGAGAAGGGTTGTAGGCGTACTGCTGTAAGTCCTACAATTCTTCAAGGGTAGTATGTCGAAGTTCAGCCCAACGTGCTTGTAGTGTTATTATGTACATACGTTCATGTTGTATATACTGAATCGGTATCATCTCTCATCTATCTGTTGATAATTTTGTTTCTTTCTGGACGACTTCCACTTATATCATCAACCTGAGAAGGAATGTAGGCGTACTGCTGTAAGTCCTACAGTTCTTCAAGGGTAGTTTGTCATGCCAGAATCCACAACATTTGATGTATTGATTGTACATATGTTGATCGTGCCTGTAAAAATGGCATGCATTTTCATGTAAATTTCTGTTTATATGAAAATAAATTATTATTATTATTATTGTTTGTGTTAAATAATTGTGTTAGTTCCAATTATTGTAATTGTTGGTTAATCTTGATTGTGTCTGGACATTCTAAGACTTACAATCGTCAACCTTGGAAGGGTTGCAGGCGTACTGGTGTAAGTCCTGCGATTCTTCAAAGGAATTCCATCGAAACACAATCTGCGGGTTTGTGTGTACTTTTTGTATATATGTGTGGTGTGTCATATCAATTGGTGTTTTTCGGATTCACTGTGTTTACTCGTTGTTTTCGTACCTTGTTTTTATTGCGTAATCTTGTTAAAATTTTCATAATGATTGCTTCTGAAGTTGTTTCTAGTCTTCTACATCCGTGAATGAATTGATTGATGTTAAAGACAGCAGATGGGTCGTATACGCCGGGGAGGCTTTCGCTGAGAATGAAATCCATACAGGAATAATTGTTAGCTGTGGTCCCACACGCCGGAGAGCGAGAGTGTGGACGATTGAGGCTTGCATACGTCACCGTTACTAGAACTGAGGCAAAATGAGTGACAAGCGATTGTAGTGATAATTGGTTGTGAGTAGATAATAGGATGTGCGAAGAGTATCATAAGGTGCCGCTATGGTCACGTTGCATTCTGCAAGAGTCATTCTAGCAAGTGGCGATTGTGTTGAGAGATGTCAAGAGGATACCTTTAACTGGAAGGCGCAGGTTGTTGATGTGTGAGATTGTGCTGTGGGTATCCTTGTGGTGTGTTGGCTTTTCTGTTTGTTTTCGATTTCAGCTCTGTCCGTGTGACCCAGGTTCTCGCAATGGCATCCAAGTAAACGTGTATTGGTCGTGATGGAAAAAGGGATATATCCCTTTTTTGCCGGGGAGTGTTATTGTAGTTGAAGATTGAACGATCAATTCATGGTTGTTTGCCCAAAACCAACTTCCCCAATTTTCGCTGAGGCATCAATACACCAGTCATCGTCTCATCGGTCGTTGTTCAGAAAGGAGTCAGGACAAAAACGTCAGAAGCAATATTGTGATTTATTATTGTAATATTTGTTCACAGACCTTAGTTGTAACATTGTTTATATGTTGGTGTTACAATAAAGAATCCTCGAGTCGCCAATTGGTGTTTTGGTTTTTGCGTCCGTTATTACTAAGCGTTTATGAGAAACTTCAAGGAACAGCGTGAGGTCCAGCGTAGCAAGAGCTGGGTATTAACGGTTTACGAGACATTTCTGTCAATATGTTTGATGATTGATACTAGTCTCTTTAGTTGAGATATTTTATTTGTTCCGGAACGTGCATTAATTGCTAATAATGTGAATAAGTTGCAGGAAATTACAAACTGACCTGAAATACACTATTAGGTGATCGAATGTGGGTGCCTGTGCCGACATTCCGTGTATGCAAATAGGAGGGTCAGGGAGGATCTGTATATATCGGCCTTGCAGAGTGACGAAGTAGTCCTAGGTGGCATGGGTTGTTCTAGTAATTGAGGACTACCTGAATACTTTGTATAGGCTGTGAATGAAAGGGTGATGAAGGTAAGTTGTGATTGAGAGTTATTTATGAGTTGCACGATTGATTAGACTGAAGGCTTACCATCAAGCATCCATGCCATTCGGCACGCCATCGTGTTACTTTCGTACGTTCATGCACGATCCCTAGCCAGCTAAGCAGACATACTTGCACTCCGATTCGGTCCCAAAATATGCTTTGTAATTTGGACTATCAATTCTGGTGTTTTGCTTTGCCTTTGGTCCATGTGGAACGGACACCATGTAATTTGTGGGTATTTAGTCTTGCGTTAGGACACTTCGTACCTTCCATGAAGGTCAACACCTTCACCAAATATACCATTTTCTGATGTCATAAACATTAGATCCACAATCTAGTAATCCATGTATGTGTTTCTTACATCAGTATTTGTGCGGACAGGCATATATTTTCTCATGTCTGTTCTAAATCCAACTAGTGTGGCAATCTGCATTCCACATACAAACAGGCATTCCGACTGACTGTGACGGGTTCTGGTCGGCAGATCGACTTCATTTTCTGTCATCGCTGTTTTCATAATGCTGGGACTATTAGCTAACCACTAACGCTTTAGTTTCCTTGGGGTGAATAGTGGCAGGTTAGCATACTAAAAGAGAAACTGATTTTAAATTGGGTTGACACTTACGGAGGAACTTAACGTGTGTCTCTTGCATGAGGAGAAGTAATCTTAGGGAATCTTCCCTAGGTTAATGACAAGCAGACGGAAAGATGTCCTTAACAAGTAGGAAATCTATGAAACACCTTAATATAACAGTCAAACGTAACAATGTGAATGCCTACAGACGACAATGGCATCATCATTTATCTGTCCAGGAAATTATCCGACTTGAGAAAACTAATTAATTTCGCAAGGGTTTTCTTCTACTTCTGATTGTGGATGAGTACTTATGCTCATATTCTTCTGATTCTTTCATCCCTACCTTGATGGGAAGCAGACTATCAGTGAACCATCCAGAACTAAACAGAGCTGTAGCAAGAAAGTGATTAGATATACTATGTCATAATCGATATGCACTGTTCTATCAAGTATACTGGAGAGCCTGGGGTGTCAATGGTGCAATGTGACGAAACCGTGATCCAGAACGACAGACAGAGGCATTGGATATTGAAGGTACCCCGTGCAAACTTTATGGTCTCGTGTGCTACCGAGGTTCGTGGTCAGCTGATTCACGTATTAATGTAGCTTCTAATACTTTTATGAACATGTTTTATTTTCTGTCGTCAAGAGAAGTCGTATTAGTTTTGGTGAAGTTCAAGACTAGCGTCCTCACTGCATTTTTTATTTAGGGTTGTGTTACATGATTTTTCGACTGTATAGCTCCAGTACCACAGAAAAGCGTGCATCGCTCCGTCCCTAATAGACCATAAGCTTTGATTCTGGGAGACTAACACCAGTTCACTTGCGTTGAGAAAAAGGCGTAGTAGGGTCACCCCAATACTTGCATATCTAACTCCATTATGGATAAGATTTTATTTTGATATATCACACAGTATTGTACAGTTGTATTAACTGATGACGTTTCGAGCACTAACTATTGCTCATAATCATATCAAGTCACTCACATAACTGTACAACACTGTGTGATATATCAAAGTAAAATCTTACCCATAATGGAGTTATACTCTACCACAATGCCCAAGTATTATACTTATATCAACTTGCATATCTAGCTTCACCCATAGCGCAAGTGGATAGTCAGACGGCGAAGAGAGCGCCTGTGAGTAGCGTAATTCAGTCTAGAAAAGTGATACATAGGTCCTGTAGAAGTCGTTGACTACAGCAAATAAGTGGATTCACCTTCTCAGTCTCATTGAATTCAAAAACTGAGAAAGATGCTAGACTAAGCAACATTCCGACTTAAAGGACTAGGTATCTACGCATGTGCTCGCTTATGCCTAGCAGACCGCATCAAAAGTGTGAAGCTCAAGTGTTAAGCCAAGAGTGAGAATAAACTAACCATTAGAGGTTTTCAACTTGTAAAAGTTTGAGGCTTGGTAATTCCGAAACCTCTGTGGGTGGAACGTGGGAGCACCAGACTGAGTTAAAAGTTCGATATACTAATGGTCACAGCCTGTTAAATAAGTTGACTGGGCTGCGTAGTACGATAGACACCAGAAACCAGGATATCATTGTGACTTCGGAAATACAGCCAACATCAGCTGTCACCGACAACGAATTTAACTTCCCAAACTACATAATCCATAGGGCGGATCGAGTAAGCAGTTGAGGTAGTGATGTTAGCTATCGCAAAAATGCCTAATCGTGGGCTGCATTAAAGCTCTCGCACACGAAAGTGGAATTTGCGAACTTCTGCTCTGCGTAAGCCAAGATATTGGCCTCCTTAATATACACCACAGTCCCGACTGCAGTGTAGACGACTTCCTAATAAGGAAGCTAGGAGTATGGCCATCTGGGTGTCGGAGTCTTGTAGTCGGCGATTTCAACGCCCTAAAAGTTGACTGGACGAGTTTTGCGACTCCATCTTCGGACAAATCCTTTGACTATGAACTGTTGGAATGTAGTGTTTCGCTAGCTCTACTCCAGCATGTCACAAAGCCCACACGCTATGACTCGCAGCTTTAGACCTGGTTTTCTCCCATGGTGAGTATGTAAACCTCATACATCGTCCTCCTTTAGGAAGAAGTGATCTCACAGTATTCACCTTCATGGGCCGAAACTCCAGCTTGACCAATACCATAAATGATATGAATGCCATCGTATCAGTAGCCAAACCGCTGGACTGGCACATAAATCCAGAGTCTCACGTAGAAGCTGCATGGGATCACTTTAAGCAACTTTACGCTCAGATAACCGAATCTTTCACCCCTTGGTATGTTCGAAAGGGCCGAAAATATTGCCCCCTAGGAATAAACCAAGACAGTCGCAGTTTACTCAGGCGAAAATACAAGTGGTAGAACCTGTTTATCACATTTGAGACTTCTGAGACAAGAAAGTTATGCATCATGGCAAGGAACAAAGCTGTTGTCGGAAATCCGCCAATCAGAGATGAAGTTCAAAATGCAACGCCACAACCTAAAAAAATTTTATGCATGAATTTGATGATCGAAGCATCCAACGGGGTCCCAAACCTGACTGTTGGCAACGATACAGTCAAAGAGGACCAGTAGTCGTCACTCACAGCATCAGCTTTGGAAGCGTCAGAGGTTTACAGGATAGACTAAGTCAGTGTTAACCAAGACATCGACAAACCTTACAGCACGAGAAAGCTAGGTCAAGTCAAGGAACAATATGGCCCATCGACTTCTTTTTCATAGACTTCAGCAAGGCTTTCGACAAAGTACCTCACATAAGGCTGCCCATGAAATCGGAGTCTTGAAATCAAGGACAACTGGATTAGGCAATCCCTCATACGCGAATATAATCAGGATCAACTCCGAACTCTCCTCTTGGACAGTGGTACATAATAGAGTGCCATAAGGCACTGTAATTACGTTGTTCTCATTTGTTTGTATATCGATGTTACCTTTGCTCAGCGAATCCCTTGTGATCCTTTATGCATGACTTAACAATTTGGAGTGAGCTGAAGGGTGGTAATGATACTCATGTTGCACGATCTCAACAAATTGATTTAAGTATAAAACTTGGGCACTGTGGTAGAGTATAACTCCATTATGGATAAGATTTTATTTTGATAATCACACAGTGTTGTACAGTTATATTAACTGATGACGTTTCGAGCACAAACTATTGCTCATAATCATATCAAGTAACACACTTTTTTCTTTCATTTATATACATGTGTGGAATCGATTAGAAAAAAGTTGTGTGAGTTACTGGATATGATTATGAGCAACAGTTTGTACTCGAAACGTCATCAGCTAATATAACTGTACAACACTGTGTGATTATCAAAATAAAATCTTATCCATAATGGAATCTCATCAAATTGTTAGACTGGTCCGAATTGGATGCGCTTTGGTCACCTCATACCAACTGGAGGGAATGACCCTCCCATCAATTCAAACTTACGTGGATCTAGGTGTCGTAATGCCCCGAATTAGAAACTGCAGCATATTGTGGTGGCAGCTGGAAGTTTCAGATCCTTATGGGCAACACATAGGTTTTACTAAAATCGCCAGAGATATGTTCACTTCTTTGCATATACCTCTGATGACGTCAAGACCGAAATACTGTAATCAGGCATCCAGTCTGTTTTAAGGGGAACTCATATTCTAGAAACGATCCAAAAGAAGGCAACATGTATGATTCTCAGTATGATCAATTCATTATAGGTTGAAATACTAGACAGTTTGAATCGCTCCTCCTTGTCCTACCGTAGACATCGAGTTCTCATCATAATGTTTAGAATTTTAAGTAATGACGACGGGCCTAATCTGTTTTCTCTTTTACTTCCTATTAGGTCGGAACACCCCAGAGGACATAGCAGGAAAGTTCCATAAATCAAGGAGGGACTATATATCTGTGGGATATCAGTTCTAACTCCGAGTCATTAAACTTCTGGAACTACTGACTCGCAGAAAAAGTTTCGTTGTCCTCAATCGACTCATTCAAGATATGCCTAGGCAATCATAGGAAGTTATTAGAAAACAATTAACATAGATCTCAAGCCTTCTATCTTCAGTTATTAGATCTGAAAATTTAATCGGTCTTTGCTCACTTTTAATTATTACGAGGTTTCGTAATCAAATATAAGAAGCCAGTAACTACCAAGATATAATATCCAAACTCACTTTTCCTTTTAACTGCCGTTCGGTTAGGCATCGATACAGCTGGAATAAACATACTGCTTTTAGCCATTTAAGAAGGTATGTATACAATTTCTAATTTGTAGAAATTTGTGAGATAATGGGAGTAACCAATTCAATAATAAAGCTTGAGAATAATAAGAAAAGATCAATTTTCAAAGAAAAAGGTCGGACAATCAGGTTCGAAATTATTCACCTCTATAGTTCTGAAGGTGACTAATGTTAGTAGTGGATAGTTGTACAGTAGATCATTTGTGCAATTAAAATTAGTCTTCCAACTGTGGAAGCTAATTCTTAAAGCCTAATAGATATCCTGTTTAATTTCTGCTTGGAATTTCCAGTACACATATCCATCATTCTTGTCTCTCAGAGGATTTGTCAACAGTGGTCTTTCTTGATCATTACAAACTATGTCACACTACAGTCAGTGAGTATTGTGTCATGGGCATTTATTTGAAATCTTCCCTCCTAGTGGTAGGGAGTTTGGTAGAATAGAGTTTGCTATTAAGCTTTGAATTACTGATAGTAGGACGTTAAGTCTGGCGGCAAAGTCGTATTGTTGTTAAACAGAACTGTAAAGCTTTTACATAGAATGATCAGCAACCCCACTGTTCTGGTTTCATATTGTTTATAGGAAAGAATCAAAAATATCAGCTGGTGACTCTAAAGAATAGCAGCCCAAACCGAAACGACCTATTAACGCAAAAATGACCTTGACAGGGACAACTTCGGCCAATGAGAAGGCTCAAAAAGAAAGTCGCATAATCGTAAAAAACGGTTTATATAAAAGTAGTGCAATCATAATAAACAGTTACAAAGGATGGTGTTCGCGTATATGTTCCAAAAAAACCTCCCAGTTTCTCATGGGAGTCTTCATAGTCATATGAAACCAGTGTCGGTACATAAGTTCATCCAGGTAACTGTAAATCATGGGATTTCTCGATCCATTAACCGCTCTTATACGTCGTTTTAGACGACTCCAACAACTTTCAATGGAACTGGTGTGGGTTCCATCCAAAGGATTCCGGAAACCGTCCGTATGATTAACAACATGATGAATGTACCCATGATTCGATAATTGACGGTATCCGCTTTATTTATCTGTATGAATAGTCGTCCCCGGCAACACCAAACGCTTATTAATAGGCACTAATACTGCTGCACTGCGATTGGCAATCGCTTCTATATATACTTTGCGCAGTGTCGTGTCGTAGATACCTTGTATCCACTGCTGGTTTGCTTGTAATCTCCCGCGGTTGTATTTCCTTTTCATAAGTACAGTCTCATCAATATGGACTATGCTGCCGACTCCTCCGAGAACTTGAGTCAGGGTGTTCATTTTCCAGAAGGAAACATCTCTGCAGTAGTTGTACCATTGCACTGCTGACACCTCTGAATTTTCTGTTTCATAAGCTGTAGCTGTGACTGCTCTTTTCAGGACCCAGAAGTTACAGATCATTAAAATTTTCGTCATAGGTAGTTTAGACCTTGAGAGAAAAGTTCCTAAGGGATCTGTAAACTAAAGAACAACGACAAACCTTCTCGAACCGATTTCCTCTTTCGGCACTCAATACATCTGTATACAAAGCCATCAGTGGCCTCTGTGTATTTTTGTATATGCATAACTCTGCATTGGCAAATTTTCGACAAAGCTATCAGTCCGTTATCCAAACAGTAATTGAAAACATCCATGATTACTTCCGCAAATGATACAGTCAGCTGATTCCTTGCTCAAGGTCACTTTTCTGTTCGAAGGTCGTTTCGATTTGGGCCGATATTCTTTAGAGTCACCATATCAGCTTCTAAAGCACACTATTTTCGAATATTATTTTCCAAATTATAGTTTTGGTGGAACTTGCCTTCTTGATAAGCCGGAGTGTTTGATGTTAACTGCCCAGTGTTGAAGTTTCTCCCAATTCTTTGATGTTTATCACCACTGCTGGAGGTCTTTATGGGAAATTCCAATCAGTTAGCTTTCAAATACCCAGGCAAATCACTCCTTTTACCAAACGGTTCATAATGAACTTAAGTTGATATTTTGCTGAGGGTTATTTACCGTCTTCTGTTTTTTAAAGACAGACTAGAAACGGTGTTGGGCATCTTTTAGATAAATATCACTATCAAGTCACTAAATACAGGCTTAACGTTTTCATCCATTAGTCGGGCATGCAGGGGTTTTGGGCCTACTTACTTGACTTCCTTCAATCGATTTGCTGAAGAAATAATGTTTAATCGAAATGTACACAGATAATTCAGGAAGGGATTGGTCATCGTCCTTTTTGATTGATGCAAACTACAAGCAGAGGTTGTTCACGCGGATACTCGCCTCTTTCCTAGATATCCATTTAGTGACATAGCACATGGAGCTAGGGGGCCTTAATTTTTCTCTCCAACAGCTTGTAGTATCTTTGCCCAAAAATACAGTACTCTTATGGTCAGTTCCACAAGTACACTTGTTGGACTGTATGGGGCGGAGTCGTTGCTGACTTTTTAGTTCCTTGTATGTATATTTCACAAATGCGATGTGTTTCCATAGCGCAAGACGTTGTATTAGAAGCTGGTGGGGTCTGATTTTTTATTTGATATATGGTTCATACATTGAAAGCCTCATTGTGAGGTTGGTTGTGTTGTTTTAAAGGGATAAGAAATCTTCCCTTGGCCTAAGGCATTAGCAGTGGTCTCAAAGTTAATTGATGAAGGAATAGTAAGAAAAACAGTGTCGCCAGTGAAATAAAGTAACGAAATTTTAAAGAAGGTAGGAAAACCAAGTGTGTAGGCTTTCAGTTCTACTCCTACTCAACTGATCTCTTCAGCACAGTGAAACTTCCAGAAGTAATCGTTCCTGCTAGTATAGGTGGTTGTGTCATCGTAGTATGAGTATAAAGGTGTGGTCACCACGTCAGGGTAGTAGCATCTAGTTTAAGTTGAATGACACCAGTTACAAATTTTATCCATTTTTAAATTTTAAGAAGCCAAATGCAGTATAATCAAAACATTAGCTCAATTGTCTCATATCTGGTAGTTATTATACCGTGAAAGGTTTATTGTTCAATAAACTGAATAATAAGTTGTACGGAGAATGCAGCGCTTTTATCACAGGGTCAAATCCAACTCTCAACTGAATTCACTTACCCGATACACAACATTGATACGTGAGACTAAGAGTCATTTATCGTACAAAGGCTGATGATGCTATCCAATCTCTGGCAGGCTAAATTAGATGGAGCAGGAGTAAAAGTTGTGACCCTTTGGCGGCAAACTGGGCTCGTGTGTCAATCAATCACATCTCCTAGTTCAAGTAATACAAGAGAAAGCTGAGGAACCAAAATAATGTTTAGTTGATCTGGTGAGAGAGATTTTCTGTAGGCGTATAGTCTAAAATGACCAAAGCTGGTTAAATATTTCCACTTGTTTGTTTGAGTTTCAACATAGAATTTTGCAGAGAGGTGAAGCACTTCAATTTACTACACCGCTCACATATGACACAAAGGCAGAGGAAAGAGATTCAAAACAATTGTAATGAGCAGGAATATGAAGGATGACGAATAGTAGAAAAATGAATGTTTAGTGGATACTGGAGATCAAAAAGTATGAGTTCATCTGCACCATCAAAAAACCCGTTTGAGTCATATTACTGGCGGTCTCTAGCCATTGATTCTTAACATTCTGGGGACTCCAACCGGTAAGCTTACACCTCTCTACGTGCCTGGCTTAAACCAACGGTCGAATTCTCCATGGACTAATGCCAGGTTTTAGTTCGACCGTTCCTAACTCGTTTCCAGCTCAATCCTATTTGTATTTATCTTTATCTTTTCACCACAGAATTCTTCAATGCAGAATCAAACATCGACTACAAATCAGCTAAGCAGCCCAGCAAAACGTGGCTCATATTCAGCTTACAATAAAGGTCAAACGCTATCGCCTGGTCAATCACAACAGCAACACCATCAGTCTCAACAGCAGCAGCAACAACAAGTATGGCCGTCATCATTACCACCGGGTTGGAGGCGTGAAGAACGTATGCGACCAAAAGGTTTGTGCACCGGGAAATCATATGTTTACTACATTAGGTAATCTTTGTTTCTATTTCCTTATTCCCCCTTTTTTCGTAGTCCTCAAAACCAAATTGTTCGTAGCAAACGCGAAATGCAAACCATCCTAGGCGACAATTATGATGTTGGTTTGTTCGATTGGAGATTGGGAAAATTCACGCTGAATCGTCGATCTAAGCAATCTGGGGAACAGGCAACAGACGCTTCCTCAGCTAAAGGTACACAAATTTTCTAATGGTGTTTATATGTTCCATTTTCTCCTCTCTTACTACAAATCCCACGTGTAGATAATCGGTCTTTGCTTTCAATGAGACGATGTCCATATCCAATACATGAAATTCAACCTGTTATGGTCCGATCTCATCCGGTATGTAAACGAATAGATGGGGAGGATGGAAATCAAGAAGCACCTCGTCAAGTGCGTACATTATTCCTTCAACTTTAGAATTACCGTCATATTTCTTATAGTTATTTTGGGAGAAACGACTGGCTGGTAATGTGGCCGTTGATGCTGAAACTGGTGAACCGTTTAAACCAATCTCTTTGCCCAGCGGAATTCAGAGTAAGTTTTATGGATTAATTCGTATTGTTATTATTGACATTATTTTTTATGTTGTTTTATTCCTCCGCATCCCGAGTGGAATATATGACTTCAGGTAGCGGTTTTATTTTTTATTGCTTGGGATTGCTAGCTTGACACTCAGCCTGCCTTATTTATCGGGCTTATTTACGGGCTTGGGGTTGTTTACGAGTGTGTCGGCAGCGAATAGAACCCCAGACCACATGTTCACTTGGTGATGCACACAATAATTTGTAATAATCTTTGAATTTTCGCTTTTTTGTTTTTCTCCCCTCCTCCCCCCCCCGGTTCCATTTCTAGGTGCTGGAGTACCTGGTTATCAACCTTCTCAATTAGTTCAAAGTTTAGTTCATGCCTTGACAAATGAAAATACTCCAGTCATTGGTCAGGAACAAGATCTCTCAGATATTGAGAATGATCCATGTGCCACGATAAATCCCTCGCAACCAATGATTAAAGTAAGTAACTAGTCTAGTATGAAGAAACAATCCTGTTATTACAATTATTATAAGTTTTCCTGTGGTTGTGAATCATTCTTGACTATCGGTTAGTGGGTGATGCGTTGCCCATGATTAGTTACCAGCTTTTTACAAATAGGACTAGATTGGAAAGAGCTTAGGGATAGTCAAATCAAGACAGAACTGCACCAGCTCAAGTTTTCCTACTCTATATAGGTAAAGAAAAATGAAAACAATTCAAAATAATTCTGATGAACAGAATTATACATAAGAAAGAATAGTTAAGCGGAGAAACAAGAGGATTCGGCGATTACAAAAAGTAAATTTGTGTGACAATTTGGACCGTATCATCGATAGTCTCTGGCCATTGGTTCTTAGCATCCTCCAGGTCCCAACCAGGCTGTCTACACCTTGCTACACGCTTCAAATGAACAGTCAAAGATTCCACACATTGACGTCAAGTTTTTATTTGACCAGCCGAAACTTTTTTCCAACTCAATCCTGTGTCAGCTAACATTGCTCTTCGGGGAAGGCGGTAATCTGATATGTGTGACACGTGTCCTAGCAAATTTAATCGATGTAGCTCGTAGACCATTTTGCTTTTTGTCGACGTTTTCACTTAAAGGGTTAAGGTATATCATCTACATGCTGTCAGTCGACGAGATTGTTTGTTGGTTACCTGAACAGTTGAATAATAAGATTATTATTATTATTATTACTACTACTAGTGTTCCTGACAAGTTCTGTGTAACTGTTATTTCAACCCTATAAATTTATAGTAGGTTAGTCAGTTATATTTAAATATAACATAAGGTACACTGTACATGCATCTATGTCTATGATATCAGCTCATATCTTTTAAGGCGTAAAGTGTTAATATAATTCTTCTTCATTCGTTTACTTCCCAAGTGGAACGTAGGACTTCAAACTTGATCTAGTGTTGTTTCTATGAGGGGGTGGAGTTGCTAGTTTCATATCCAGGCTTTCCTCTTTAACGAGCTTACTACCGGCTAACCAACGTTAAACGGAGCGCGTCATCTAGGAGTGGATCTCGAACCACTTGTGTGATTGGTAAGCATTCTACCAATGAACAACCACCAACGCGTGGTGTTTATATCATTATAATTATAGTAACAACATTCAATGATTATTCTTGTTTTGTCTTTTCGTTATTGTCACTTTTCTGTTCCATTTAGACATTCATTGTGACTGATGATGATATACGCCAACAGGAAGCACGTGTAAGGGAATTACGAAGAAGACTAGAGATTCTCAGGCGTAGATTTACTCCAGTGAGTTGAAAGTAGAGATGCATACAGCACAAATATATATATATATATATATATATATATATATATATATATTCAATAGAGGAGGAAAGGAATGAAGAGAGAAAAGAATATCTACTTAATATTCTCAGTTTATTTTAAATAATAATCATTGTTTTATTTTCTAGAGTTGGTTTATAGGGATTTGACTTGGTTTCAAGTTTGACAACGGATTGATATCGGTTAGAGAAGCATTGAAAACCAGACAGTAACTGGAAAGCTGTTTCGTCCTAATCCGAGACTCATTGGCAGTACGAAGCCACCGGATTTCGAACTCAGGAGCTTCCAATTACAAGACAAGCTCGTAGACCATTCAACTGCTGGGGTCTGACTCATTGGCCCATGAATTCTAACTTCTACCAATTCGTGATTTTAGCGTGACTATCAACGAGTGTCATTGCTGGCGAGTATTTGTCCTCACTTTCGAATGGATGGTTCCAACTGGTCACGAATTCTCACTAGAACTCCAGGAAGCTCCGTCTTGTAACCAGTTACTAGTGAGCATCAGACTAATAATAAGAAAGTGGGTGAGTGGATACCGCCGGTGAGTCCCAAACTAGTGCGAAATAGCTGTCCAGTATTCCCTGGATCGTTTTATTATAACCCACTAATGTTATTCCTGAAATACTATTGGACTGTTTTCACATTGACATAACTGACTGAGCAAAGAACTCTGAACAGAGATTGAAGCACTTCAAATTGTTACATTCCATACACAAAGGTAGAGGAAAAGATTTTAAAATATTCATAATCGGCAGAAGGAGGAAGAATAGTGACATGAGAAACACGAGGACTTGATGGATCTGAGAGATCACAGAGAGTGAATGAGTCGGCACCACTGAGTACGATTTGAGGCCATATCATCAAAAGTCTCCAGCCATTGGTTCTCAGAATTCCGAGAACCACCACCAGGCAGTCTACACCTTTCTACGTGGCTCACTGATATGACATGCAGAACATCAGATCTAAAAAATTTCTTTTTTACTTTAGAAAACCATTGAAAGAGTTTCTGTCTACTGATAGTTGTGGTGGTAATATTTCCATATCTATCCTACTCCTAACCAATATTCTATTGCAATTTTATAAGATCATTTCGTATACACCCATATAACCGACTGAAGGTGGGTAGACTTCGGTCTTCTTATCGAGATGCTCTCATGTGCCACTCGTTCATAGTTTCTACCAGATAAGTCCTGTGCACTAACTTCATGCGGTTGAGGTATTCCTCACAAACACCTAACATCCCTATCCGTGACCTTAGTTGAGATGTTGCTGTGGTGCATGCTAAGAGGGGATTGTCCATACTAATTGGTACTTGTTGTTGTTGTCCGTTATTAGCAATCTTTGCTATCTCTCGCATTTTTTGCCTCCAAACTCTTATTCCATCTTTTTGGTTTCTAAAACAAGCAATATAGGTTAATAAAGCAGGGTTTTTTGTTTCTGTGTGTAGTTATTCCAGTTTCAGTGAAATTATATATAAATCATGCACAGAGTCCAAGTATTCCAGAGACTTCTTCTTGGTCCAGCGTAAACTCCACAGCAAAAGTATATTGTGGAGTTACATTTCCACTTATTAACATACACAGAGTGCACACCCATCACAAGCACGTGGTCCGAGGTTTGATCCTCGACCGACTCACTCCTTCACCTCACCAAGCCAGTAGTAAGACTGATAAAGGGGGGAGGTTGGACATGAGGCTAGCAACCCCATCCTGTAAAAAATACAATCACCACTGCTACAGAAACTTCAAGCCTCCAGCTTGAAGCCCTATGTTCCACTGGTAACGTAAAGAAATGAAAGCATCTGTTTTTATTTATTAATCAGGACTTTCCATGTATCAGCTAACATCACACCCTCACGTGTGTCCAAACTGTTGGGATTCACCCATATATGTAGGCTTACTGCAGTCAGTCTTTCTCTATGCGAGTCCAAACCTTTCTGATCCTGTCAACGTGTATTTTGTGACTCGTTTCTGTCGAGTTCAGCGCAGTCGGTGATCTGTTCTCTAGCCTCTTTAAGTCTGCAGAGATTTATTTGAACCACCTTTAGACATTTTTTATACTTTCACTCATATATTTAAATGTAAAAGCTCGAGCTGCTTTCGCTGACGTACACCATCTCTGGCGTATGCGTGACATCTGGCTATCAACTGAAGGGCGTGTGTACTGCTCAGAAGTCCGCTCGGTCCTTCTCTATGGCTCTGAAACATGGCCAATACGAGTTGAAGACATGAAAAGGTTGACTGTTTTTGATCATAGATGTCTACGATCTCTTTCTCACGTTAGGTGGTATAATAAGGTAAGTAATGTTGACGTTAGGCGTAGAGTGTTGGGCAAAGAGGGAAAATCAATCGACGAGGCTATAAAGTTGAGATGGCTAGGTCACGTGCTGCACATGCCTAACCATCGCCTCCTGCGGCGGGCATTACTAGCTGATATAGGTGCCGGTTGGAAAAGAGTAAGTGGTGGTCGAACAAAAACATGGCATCAATCCATGAAATCCTTGACAGTTAAACTGAGGCAGGTAGGGAGATGCAGACTTCCGGGTTGGGGTCCTCGGGACTCTAGGAATCAATGGCTGGAGAGAGTAGGTGACATGACTCAAAATCGTTGTCAATGGCGCAGATGTATTCAGTCTCTGTAATCTTTCATATTCTTTCTACCATTATTCATTCTGTTTCACTCTTAGACTTGTCAAACTCTATTGGTTCTCTTCATTCATCTTCTTGTCTACCTTTGTGTGCTATTTGGAACGTGGCAACTCGAACTGCTGCACTTCGATGCCAAGTTCTATGTTGAATCCAGACCAGACCATATTTAAATGTATGGAAGTTTTTGGTACATATACGGCGTCACAGTCTCCACAACTGATCTGGTACACACAATTCTATCGGTTTCTGGTTCTGTTGGCTTCTTCTATTTTATCCTTGACGGTCACCAGTGATGAGCGTAACGTGTTAGCTACACGAAAATTCACTCGTATATCATGACCGTTAAGGATTCACTTTATCTCATCATATGTTTCCCTGCGGTAATGAATCGCCGATGTGCTAACCCAATTCCCAGCAACAGGTATCGATACATCCTTATCTAGTCATTTTAAATAACTTTTTATGAAGTCTTTGGAATGTCATTTTTATAAATAAGCCTCTATTACGAAAATAGTTGCTACACTTGTTGCCTGAACTTTGGCGGATAATAAAGTGAGTGTGGAAGTTGTTACTCACCTACTGGTAGAAAGTCACTCCCCTCTAAAATAATTAGCTACATTTCCTTTTTAATGCCATGTGTGTATGTATGTCCAACGGTTACTTTTGTATTTCTCCTTGTTTTTTTGTTATTTCAGAGACATGATGCCGAACGACAAGGTTGATACAAACAAAAGCGCTGCATAAAATGACAATTATATTGTCATTATGTGTGCTGTTCTCTGTTAATGCGCTTGTTGTATTATATATTGTCGTTGTTGTTATTGATGTTGTTGTTATATAATCCTGTTCTTATGCGCAGTACTGTTCCACAGTGGTTTTACTGCATTTCCGTATAATGTCGCTGAATGATGATTGGCGATATGGGAATGATTGATAAATTAATCACCTGGTCAATTATTCCCTCACGTGAACTATTGAAATCCAGAGGACTCACATAGTAGGGTTGTCAACGTGTATTTCCAATAAGAGTGTGTGTATGAGAGAGAGAGAGAGAGAAAGTGACCAAGAGTACAAAAATGTTGGGCAGTGATGGATGAGGCTCGAATGTGTATTCGTCGACTGCATGCTAGACTGTATGTGACTGATTTACGCCCATCATGTGATATGGTTTTCTCTGAATCAAAAGACTGATAAGATGGAATTGTGGACACATATGAAATTGACAGACTGATGAATTGTTTCATGTACATATATGAGACTGTTTAGATATTGTTATTGTTGGCACTGTTATCTAGTTGTCCGGCTGTCTGTCGATGATTATGTTATAACCTTCTAAAATATCCGTGGCATTTATGAATAGCAGTGGTTCTCCTCATTAATCATGCGTCTGTGTACAAACATGACGGTTAGTGATACATGATCTGCGTGTTGGAGGTTCAGGTGTAGAATACCTGTCATCACTGACATAGTCCGAGTTCTGTGTGCGGCTGACACTGCGAAACCTTGCCCAACCTGTAGTAGGCTGATAGAAGTGGAAAGATTGGAAGTGAGGCTGGAAACTCCAGCCTACAACTGGAACTTCAGTGTTGGAAGCCCTATGTGGCACTCAGATTGAAAGAAAAGATGCTATCTGACTGCAGAGGTGTATGATTAGCTTCATCGCGAAAAACAACATATAAGATAGACTAACTAGTAATAAAAGTAACAGTAATCTACTCTATTCCAAAAACAGTACTTATTATACAGAACAGAATTCTCAGCATTTGTCACAATACTGCATCTGATTCGCTCAAAATATAAGTAAAATTAGCCGCAGGACTTTGTCCACATTTACGATATAAAGCCAAAAATATTCGATGTACAAAATGAGAATAGTCAGTATGATAATAGTGATAATAACAGTGATTTTGTTTCAAACAGTACTGTCGATTCAGGTTGGAAATTTTAGCATGTTGTAGATTATTGAGTCTAGTGTTCTGTTGATATCGCATGGTGAAGGGAAAGACAAAAAATAACAGTTATTACACAGTCTAAAGGATGTTTACACTTATGGGAAAATTAAAAAAACCTTGAGAGGATTATAAATATAAGAAGAACAGTGACAATAAAGCTTGGTGGAATGAGGATGGAGAAAATGGTTTATTTACTAGTGCGAAGAAGGTTAGTCAGTTCGTCCCTGACACATAAAATACGTGCCACCAAATATGGTATCGTGGAATTTTTATACCTAGGCGTACGTGCATAAAGTCTTCTGAAAAGACTTCTAGTTTTACCTGAGGAGATACAAGGTGAAAGATACCCAGAAGTAAAGTGAATGCTCACAGTCTGACAGAATTCCTTTCGAAAATCAGTTGCATGAAATTAAATGCCTATCAATGAAGGTGTCAACAATATGGTCCATTGGGAAACCATTCTGCCTACTGACAGTCTTCAGAGTTCACCGAAGTATGACATAGTCTCTTTTAAGCAATCTGGGAAAGAGTAAGGGTGACCAGTGAGGAAGAATGGGTAAGATGCACGAGTTGACAAACTGTAAGAGGAGGAAGGGTTCAGTTATGCCTGAGTGCGTTAACTTCTTAATGTGAAAAGTCAAACGAAATATTCTTTAGGAAATCGCTACGACACGGGAAGACCAGGACAGGTCAGAAGAAAGAATTAATCCAAGATACTTAACGTCAGACTTGATTTCTACATCACTATCATTAATTTTGTTACGGTCATAGGAACCAACAGCTTCATTCAACTTTCTTTTACATCTGAAACTGAAATTAACAGTCTGACACTTGGAAGGATTGAGTTTAAGACCATTTACTCACTCCTGATAGAGAGCTTTTCATCTTAGTACAATCTAGCTAAGAGTTAACAGACATTGAAGTAGTCAGATCATCCGCATACTGAACAAAGTTGATTTCATCATCAGAGTGAGGCAAGTCATTGAAGAAGAAAGATAAGAGAAAAGTAGGAAGAACAGCACCTTGAGTGAATTCTTAGAGCTTGGATGATTTTACAGTTGAGTGTTGAATTCAGAGGCGGGTATTATTCCGGGATTTTTAACACATCCTTTTCTTTTGAATTCTGAATAGCGTGTATATTTCGAGGTAGATACATGCTACATGCTTATAGGGCAGGCTAACATAGATTTACTTGTTTGTGTAGAGCTAGTTAGTAGATCGAAAGGATATCATGGATAATATCTTGTGTTTCTTGCAAGAAAGCAGTTTAAATCAGGAATCACTTACACATTAGGGCTTCTGATTAAATGGCGTTGCTCAGCTCTGCTTGAATCTTCTTCTAAACTTATTTATGAAGTTATTCATATGAACTGTGATCAAGATTTGACCGAATAGTTCCGAAATAATTGGGCGCCGAGTGAGAAGTAGACGCATGGAAAATTTAAATTTTTAAAATCTCAGAGAAATTGAAATGAGTAATTTCAACGTATTCTGCGTCCGGAAAAGTGCGTCGGTGGCACAGCGGTAGAGCGCTCGCCGACCACGCGCGCGTGGTCCTAGGTTCGATCCTCGACCGACTCACTCCTTCACCTCACCAAGCCAGTAGTAAGACTGATAAAGGGGGGAGGTTGGACATGAGGCTAGCAACCCCATCCTGTAAAAAATACAATCACCACTGCTACAGAAACTTCAAGCCTCCAGCTTGAAGCCCTATGTTCCACTGGTAACGTAAAGAAATGAAAGCATCTGTTTTTATTTATTAATCAGGACTTTCCATGTATCAGCTAACATCACACCCTCACGTGTGTCCAAACTGTTGGGATTCACCCATATATGTAGGCTTACTGCAGTCAGTCTTTCTCTATGCGAGTCCAAACCTTTCTGATCCTGTCAACGTGTATTTTGTGACTCGTTTCTGTCGAGTTCAGCGCAGTCGGTGATCTGTTCTCTAGCCTCTTTAAGTCTGCAGAGATTTATTTGAACCACCTTTAGACATTTTTTATGCTTTCACTCATATATTTAAATGTAAAAGCTCGAGCTGCTTTCGCTGACGTACACCATCTCTGGCGTATGCGTGAC